AAAAATCATGCAACCTAGTGATATTTTATAGAAATTGACAACTTGATTCCAAAATTATACAAAATGCAAAGGTCCAGGAATAGTCCACTCTTGAAGTGGACTACTAAACAGTCAGGCTTCTAGATTTCAAGCATTGTGATAAAACTGTAATAGCAGTAAAGATAATGAGATATTGGCACAAAATAGATGATGTAAACAATCAAAATTCCAGAAAAGACCCACCTTCAGTTGTCTTGTATATGACTGATGAACTGCAGTAGAGTGAAGAAAAGGAGAGCCTTTTTCAATAATTGTATTGAAAACAATAATGGGAAATCAAATACCAAATAGATTATAAATCTAGGATATATCAAAATGGAATGCTTTTAAGAAAAAACACCATCTTCATGGATTTGGGGTAAGCAAGTATTTCCTAAACAGAGCATTAAGTCTGACTAAAAGAAAAAGTTGGTAAAATACACAATTAAAAATAACATCTAAGGACACCTTTAGGAATGTAAAGCCACAGAATGGAAAGAGGCTTATGACCTAACCAGAAGGCACAAAGAATGTTCAAATCAGTAAGAAAATGACAGATGACCCAATAGAAAAATGGGCAAAGTGGGCCCTCCTTGATGGCGCAAAAGGTTAAGGCACAGCACTAAGAAGCTAGCCACAGCCACTTCAACATCCGAGTTTGATCCTTGGCCAGGGAGGTGACCCACATGGTGCAACAGACCTCTCCAGTCACACTGGCTGCTCCCCTCAGCAGGGTACTTTGTCCATCTGCCTGTTCTGCCGTCTCCCCACTGTCTGCTGAATCCTCTCACTGCCCCTGCACCTCTAGCCTTTACCCCAATTCTGTATGCATAAATAAATTTTTTTTTAAAAAAAGGAAAATTGGCAAAAGATTTTTAATAGCAATACACAAAAGGTAACAGTCAAGTAGTAAGTATATGGGGATATATTCAACATCGTTGGATGTCTGGGAATACAAATTAAAACAACAATGCAGTATTTTACACCAAACACCCACCAAAATGGCTAAAAATAAAAAGACAAAACATTGTAAGAGGCTGTAGAGAAACTGGAGTACTTGCACATTGCCAGTAAGAATGTAAAATAGTGCAACACTTTGGAAAACAGTTTGGCAATTTCTTAAAATGTTAAAATAGCTTTACTATGTAATGCAGCAATTCTCCCATATATAAGCCCAATAAAAAATATATGAACACAAAGACTTGTAGGCAAATATCCATAGCAGCCGTTACTCATAATGGCCATAAAGTGAATGTAACTCAAATATGCAGCTACTGTAAATGAATAAAAATATGGGGTCCTCTCTGGTAGTGCAGTGGGTTAAAGTGCAGCGCTATGAAGCAACCCACAAGCACTGCAGCACAAGTTCGATCCCTGGCCATGTAGTGACCCACATGGTGTGGCAGACCTCCCCTGTCTCACCCACTGCTCCCCTCAGCAGTGTATTTCAGTAGATTGGCCTGTTCTGCTCCCCACTCTCCAGTGAATGCTCTCACCCCAACACCTCTGGCCTGTACCCCAGTTCTTGTGTGTATAAATAAAGTCCTATCTATATAATAGAATTATTTTCAGCAATAAAAGAACAAAATACTAATATATGTGGATGAACATCAAAAATGTCAAGCGAAAGAAATTTATAACATAATGGCTCCATTTTTATGAAATGATTATGAAAAGTAAAGCTATAAAGAGGTTTGTGGTTGAGAATGAAGGGTGACTAAATCAGCATGAGGTTTCTTTTGGCAATGATGTTCTAAAACTATGGGGCTAGTCATACAACTCTAAAAACAAAATCTCTAATTGGCACACTTCAAATCACTGAATTTGGTAGTACCTCAATAAAACAAAATATCCAAAGATTCAGTAAACACTTGAGGAGGTATTCAATGTCATTAGTTACCAGGGAGATTAAAAAACACAATGCCCCTAAAAAATAAAACCGGGATGACTGAAGTGAAAAAGAATGAGAGCTTGGATCAAGTGGAACTTTTATACATTGTTGGTAGGAATATCAGGTGATATAATAACTTTGAAAAGCTAAAGTAAAATATACATACATTATGACTCAACATTTCAAAACCTAGTTCTGTACCCAAAGGATGATCACAAAGGACATCTGAAGCTTCCTATAGCATTATTCATATCTGTCCTCAAATGGGAACAATTTAAATGTCCATCTACAATAGAAAGGACAAATATGTTGTGGTATATCACACTCAAAATAATATAGAACAGTGAAGTTCTGATGTCTTCAAACCTAGAAACTTATCAAAAGGATTATCTTTTGTGGGAGAAATCCCACAGAAATGATTCAGCTTCCCAGTTATTAGCTAGGAGAAACCTCAGGAGAGCTTGGTTAATGGAGAGATGAATATGGAAGATGTTAATTTCCTGTAGCAGGTTTTCTTGTGACACCAGACCTGATTGGTGCATATTCACTTCCGCATGTTAACTTAGTCCATCTACAGTAGAAAGGACAAATAGTCCCTTTATGACCACTGAGAAAAATTCCATCAATATCCAACAAAACCACCAAATTACACTATATCTAAACAAACAGCATTTGGAAACAAAGGAGTGAAAGATATGCCCGGCAGACAAAAATCATATAAGAAATTGACATAATTGAGAGTTAAATTTCTGAATTAGGTTCTTGAACTGCTGTTTAACTGTAATGATTAAAGACAAAAATCAGCACTGAGCTCAAGGCCTCCTTGGTAGTGAAGCTACCCCCAGCCACTGCAGCATGAGTTCAATCCCTGGTAAGGGAGGTGACCCACATGGCATGCAGCAGACCTCTCCTGCCTCATACTGTTCTCCT